TCAAACAAGGAAAATCTCTGGCTCTCACAGACCTGTAACGTCTTCTGTAAGAAGCTTTTCTGTCCCCCACTCGTTACCTGTATGAATGGCATCTGTTTGAACTCATCATCAGATGTGATGTCAGGGCTACCACAGGGCTGTCCCTAAAACAGAGCTCAAAAGACTGAGGTACTGTGTATGGAGCATACATGGCCATACACTGACCCATATCACCCCTCCCACCAACTGTTTACTCCTCTTCCATCCAGAAGACAACTCTGCAGCATCAGGAGCAGGCCAGCGAGAATAGCTTTTCCCCCAAACAGTCCAGCTCCTGAACACTGAATTATTATTAAAAATCACTGAACAACAAATGCTGAATCCTCCACACTGGATTCTCTTCTTCACACACTTCTTGGACTACATAACACTTTCCCTTCACTTCCAATACTTGCATTATTCTGTATTGCACTGTTCCACTCTGTCTGTGTATTATTGTATTTATTTATTCTCACTCTTTTCTATTCTTATTAAGATAAGATAACCTTTATTATCTTTATTATTCTATTTCTATTCAACGACAATACATTGTATGCATTCTTAGTTTATCTTATTTCAGTATAGTTGTATACATGTATATTTGAATATTTATTTTTAACTTATAGATTTGTCTTCCAGGATACAGGCTCCAAGTGAAGCTGGGAGTTAAACAAGCTTAACATTTAACCACTGGCTAATGTTTTCTTATGACAGGGTTACAGGCTGGGAGTAAAGTTACTCCAAGGGAGAAGCCCTGGGAACCTTTTGAGAGATGGTGCAACTTTCTTGTGCATCTCTAATTGTGTGGAGTTGACGCATGGCGAGGTCCATGTGTCAAAAGAGGGTTTTCTGGGGAGTGTCATTTTTCAGTTACAGGTGGAGCGATGGAGTTATGGTTCTGTAAGCAGTACAGACACCAGGAGCATGCAGTGCCAGAGGCGACTGGAGTCTGTTGGAAAGGGCTCAAGAAGAAGAGGTTGGGCCCAAGCTGGACCAGAGAATTTAAGGAGGTGGAGAGGATCCCACACCCAGTCCAGCTGAAAGGGAAAAGTGAGATCTGGCACCATGGGAGCCAGTGTTCTGTGGCGGAAGAGCCTAGGAGGTCTGGAAGGCTCTTGGCCAAAAAGGGGGACTCAACTAATAACCCATACATGGATCCCAGCCCAGGGACGGAATAAATCCCTGATCCATGCAATGACTGAAGGGTAGTCCACCCTGGAAGTTGAAGAAAGAAGAGGAGCAGAGAATCACCCAACTCGGAAGATAGAAGGAGAGACATCAAATCACTCCAGCGACTCTAACATCACAGGTCACGGTGGAGCAAACCAAACGCAGATGCCACGATGCCACTTTTGGGAAATGGGGAGTGGCTCTGTGAACAAATTGTGTTAACAGATTTAGAGTAGTGTTGATCTGCCATGGGGCAGATCAAAAGAGGGGTTTGTGAGTACAAGAAAACAATTAATACAATATAATGTGTTAAATTTGCTTAGATAAGAGGGTCCAGCAGTAGATCAGAGGAATAGGGAAGGATTTGTCTGTGGGTTTCAGTTTGGTTTAGTTATAGGCCTGAGAGTGTGTAATTGTTTAGAGGGAAAGGAATTTATGAACACCGGGGGTCTGCCTGTCATAAAAGGAGACAGGAAGCTACAGTCGGGGGTTGCTGATGCTTGTACCTTTAATAAAGTTCAAAATTGTTATAACTTAGAAGTAGGTTTGCAGGAGACTCTCCACATGCTTATCTGTAAATGTAAGACAACAAGAGGCCAATGGCCCAGTGGATGCAGAGTGGGGGTCTCAGTGCTTGTAACCTGTTAACTCTGTTTTGTATGTTGTGTAGAGGAATTTGGTGTAGCTTGGGTGAGGAGATTACTTTTATGACTGGCAGGAAGTCACATACACAGAGACACACAGTGCATGAACTGTTACGGTGCACACACACCTACAATCACAGTCACTCACGTGCACTTACATAGACACACAAACACAGAGTTTGCAACACACCATGGGGGTTTTATGATGGGGTCGCTTCTATAAAACTGGTAGTAACGAAGAAGTGAAGATCTACAGATGAACACCGGCCTTGCACATCTCCTCTTCTAGAAGATGCATGCGTAACTGAAGATGAATAAAGGTTTTTGTAAAATGACTACTGAGGCGGTGCCATCTCTGGATGCCGGAGGAATAAAAAGAACCGGAGTGAAACTGCTTTACGTAACATTTGTTGTGTATTGTCTGTCTTTTTTACTGTTTGTTTATACTGGAGCACTGTAACGAAAATTAATTTCCCTTAGGGATCAATAAAGTATTCTGATTCTGATGAAAGCGCCTTTTAGGCGACTGATGATCTGGTGCTGTATATATAAAATATATTGGTTTCACTGGTAAAAATAAATAATTGAAATGGGTATATATTTGTTTTTTGTTAAGTTGCCTAATAATTATGCACAGTAATAGTCACCTGCACACACAGATAACCCCCTAAAATAGCTAAAACTAAAAACAAACTAAAAACTACTTCCACAAACATTCAGCTTTGATATTAATGAGTTTTTTGGGTTCATTGAGAACATGGTTGTTGTTCAATAATAAAATTATTCCTCAAAAATACAACTTGCCTAATAATTCTGCACTCCTTGTAGAAAATATGGTGAAGCAAATCTTCCCTTTGATTTCACCTGCACAAGTGCCGAGGTAGGTCTCCCTGCAGGGTTGGTCTTTCCTTCGTTGGGAGCAGCACTGGGTTCTTCAAATCACGGACAAACAGTATTCTTGATTTTTAATTCACAAACACTTGTTGTGATGACTAACTACTCCTGACATTTCGGAGATGTTAGCTCTTTATACAGTAAAGTTACAGCGGGATACAAATAACATCAGGCTGATCCTGCCACGATTTGTTCCCCGGTTTAAATCACGGACAAACAGGATCCCACAGCTGTTTATGTTTTTGAACCCATTTTGCACAGAGAGGCATTTTTTGAAAAATGTATTGATAGCAATGTTGAACATTATTACACAGGAAATAAAACAACTACACGTAAAATAATCACACCGTGACGCCTCTGCCTTTGTAAATAGAGGGACAGTAACTGCGTGTAAAACCTGCAGACAGTCAGATTAACAGTATTTTGTCTCTATCATTCTGCAATTCATCTCATGTAAACAATAATGTGGCCACAGCGTGACGTGAATAAAGGCTCATACCTTTGACGCTGCCTGATGAACTCTGTATTCCTCGTCCACACGTAAATACAAAAAAGGAGTTTTAAAAAATCTCAGTTTTCGGTGATTCGAAACACCGTTTGCGTGTGAACGAAACAGCTGCGTGTTCAAAAATACCCGTGTAGGTGCGGACGCAGCGTAAAACAATTAGTAGTTTATTTTATTACTACCTGCAGATTACTTGTATTTGCTTAATTGTTTACTAAATGTTTAAGGTGTGAAATAAACCGCAATGGAGCAAAATATGGGCGTGTGGTTGGAGGATGTGTTAGCACGCGTGGGGGGTGGGGGGCGCGAACATTTTTCTTGTAAAACAAAGGGGGCCCAGCAAAAAAAGTTTGGGAACCACTGGCACAACACCTGGAGCTCAGGGGGCAAAACAATGGCATGAGTGCTGCTGTTTGACTGAGGAAGAATAAAGTAGTCGTGGTAAGCCAATCACATGACCACTTAAAGACAAAGCAACAAGGTGATATATACCAGTTTATAAACTGTGTTGATAGGCCAGTAAAACCAGAGTCATGATAAACAAGATATATGTTTTTCATTGCGTTTTTCCTCAATAGTTTCGTCACGTTTACTATCTAAGGACAGCGCAGCGAGCACGCTCTGCTTATGAGCAAAAAATAAACAAAAAAAACGGAGGACGTTTTAGGAGTGATGGCGAGAGAGAGAGAGAGCAGAAAAAGAGAGAGAGAGAGAGATTTGTGACGTTTAGCGTGTTTGCAGTGTGTAGTTAGTGTGTAGTGTTGTGGATAGTTTTGTGTTGTGTGTCAGAACAATGAGGCGGCTGCTGTCTCCAGGTAGAAACAGGAGTGACACACCTGCTGCTGTCAGACCTGCAGGTATCAGGCTGTGATGTTTCCTTTATAGTGGACAGAAATATTTGCAGTGGCACAAATAATTTGTGGCATCTTATTGAAGAACAGCTGATTGTTCTGTAAATAGTTTGAAATGGTTATTTTAAAAAAGGGTAAAAAGGTAAATGGCTGCAAATAACTTTGTTGTTTGCGAAACTTGAGCATATGATTTTAAAACTGACAATTTATATTTGCATTTAAAGTTATGAAATATGATTCAATAAACATGTTTGTGGTTATTACAGTAAAAATATAACTTTTTCTACTCTGATTTAATGTTTTTGTCTGATTTTAGATCAATTGTGTTAATACAGTTTGTCAAAATGAAAACATGACTGTAAATTCAGACACGTGAGGTTGTGCTGAAAAGGATGAGACCAAACAAGGCAAAGGAAATAGTTTTTAAAAGTGAGATTAAGAGGAAACATCAAAGTAGTTAAAATGGCCAATTATACCCTGGAGCCCAGAGGGTTAAACATTGTTTTAAAGTAATGCAATAGTTACTTTTCAAGAAATCTCCCCAATAACTAAATAAAACCACTGTCCAAACTTCACTTTGTGAGGTTATTATTAAACCATTAAAACATCAGAGGAACATAATTACAGTGTGGTGCAGGTGCACATGAGAATTACAGTAAGAAACAATAAAGTAGGACTTGATCCTCTTGGTGCACAGAACAAAGCAGATAAAAGATTATAAAGATTTCCCTGAAGAACTTTGATTAGCTATTTCTTTTTATTTATATATATATATTTATTTTATATAAAGTCATATTCTAAACTCTAATAATATTAATTATGTTCAGTGTCATATGTGGTGTGTTGTTGTATTTCTGCTGTTTTAATTTTGGCCAGTGAGGCAAATCTCTGCTGACATTTCAGAGTTTGTCAGTTTGCCTCAGTCCTTGTTTCTTTCTGCAAATCCCTCAAACCAGCACAAAGGATGCAAGCAAAATGAAAATATAAATAAGCACTTAATGAAACCAAACAACAGAAATGTATATATATTTTTAATCTAATATATTTAACCAAACTTTCAAAATATCATGAATTCCCAAATCTCCCAAACTAAAGACTGTTTAAATCCAAGTCCAGTAGCCGGAGCCCTTTCCTGTTTTTCTTTCTCCCCCACAGTTTAGTTCCACATTTACAGATACATATAAAGTCGTTTGATTGGATCTCACCTGGGCCCCTGAAGCTTTTTAAAATTTTTGTTTAGGACAAATCATTATTCAATTTATGTTCCCAGAACCAGGCACAATCGTCCTCTTGATGAGGACCTTTCAGCGCCGTTCTCGGTCCACCTTGCCAGCAGTAACACTTCAGCTGTGCCACAGTGTCTTGAGTTTGGAAGATCCTTAAACCAGGACGGACACTATTATAAGAAGTGACACTTTGTTCTCCTTTTCTTTCTTTCTTTTTGTTCGTTCTTCAGCTTCTCTATGTCCTCGCTGAGCGTCTTCATTTTCTTCTCTATTTCTTGAGAATAATTTTTGTTGTCTTTTAAATCTTTAATTTGACTTTTTTGTGCTTCCATTAATTTTCTCAGCTCTAACATTTCCCTCTCATGTTTTCTTATAAGAGCCTCCTTTGCCTCTTGTAATTCTTCCATCTCATTCAAAATGATCTTCAATTGATTCTTCATTGGTGCCCATGTCTTGTAGTAGTTGTCACCATTTTTATGGACCATTGTTTGAATTTTGGTCATCAGCTCAGTGACTTGAAGGCGGTTTTTCTGATCTTTGTTGTTGAGGACATGGTATCTCCCTCCACATTCATCAACTAGTTTTTTTAGAAATCCACGAGAGCTTTTTTCAATGAAGCTTTGAGCTGATTGATTGTTCAGGTCATCACCTCTGGTAAACACAACAAAGATAAAATCAACTGAATCCTGACCAAAGATCTTCTTGATCAGCTTCACAGTGTCTATTTCCTCCTGTGTAAAACGGCCGATTTGAAGCACCAATAAGAACACGTGAGGTCCAGGAGACAACATGTCGATACACTTCAGAAGCTCCTTTTCAGTGTCATTATAGAACAGAGTTGTGTCAAACAATCCGGGGGTGTCGATCACAACAACAGGCTGTCCATCAACCTTTCCTTCTGCTCTCTGACAAGATGTTGTTACTGACTCACCGCTGGCCTTCGATTCAAAATGTTCTTTGCCTAAAATGGTGTTTCCAGTTGCACTCTTCCCACAGCCAGTCTTTCCAATGAGCACCATCCTGATTGTCTCTCTGCTCTGCCATTTTTCTATTGGTACTATGCTTATTCTCATTTGCTTGAGTTTGTTTCGTATACTCTGTACCTGTAAAAATTCCTTTTTAAAGCTTTTAGATCCCAAAGCGCTAATCTTATCCACAACATTTAACACCTCTGAGATCTCTTGTTTGTCCTTAGTGAGAATGACAGCTCTTCCTTGAAATCTCTCACAGAGCATCTGGATGTCCTTGTCTTGTCTTACAAAGACAACAGCTGGATCTGTAGGATCTGAGTCCACAGGGAACAGAATCATGGTGAAGTTATTGACTCGAGAGCTGAATGTGTCCTGGATGGTCTCTAACTCTCCCTTGTCTTCATCAGTGAGGTGAGCCACAGGTAGGACCAGGATGAAGGCATGGACACCCTCAGGATCACAGAGGGAGATACACCTGAGTGATTCCTCCATCACTGCCTCCTGAGGTTTTCCATACAAGGCAGGCAGCTCCACCAGGGAAACCCAACGTCCACACACCTCTCCCTGATGTTTAACACACTCTGATGAGTTGGAGGCTGAATGAAGCTCAGTCTGACCTAAAATGGCCTTGGCTGCTGACGTCTTCCCTGCTCCTCTCCTCCCAAACAGAACCAGGTTCAGAGACGGTTTGATCGGTTCAGACTTTGGTTCTGTGGTCTTTTCAGTTAATCTGAGGAAATTCCTTCTATTTTCATGCATGATAGTCTCAATCTTATTCATTAACAGTTTGAGGTCATTTTTATACATACTATAGTGTTTTCCTTCACACTTCTTAAGCAGCTGATTTACAGTGAAGTTTGCCTCCACCCCCTCCTGTGCAGTGATGAGCATTGAGTGTTTAAAGGCATCTTCACCAAACAAACCCAGGATGAAGTTCAGCCTTCGTTTCTTCTCCTCAGTGACTGAAGGCTCCACTATCAGCAGCAGAACATTTGGTCCAGGAGGACAAAGACTCACACAGGTCTTCATCTCCTCTCTCACAGTCTCCTCAGACAGACTGAAGATGTTTGGAGTTTGAATGACTGTTAAACTGTTTCCCTCCCACTCTCCAGAGATGGCCACACAGTGATCAGCTCGTGGAGGTTTCTGAACTTTTCCTGTGATGAAGCTGCTCAGTGTCCTCTTTGAATCCTCTTTTTCTCCCAACAGCACAATCCTGAGAGCAGAGGCTGTAAGAAAATGTGAATATTGTTTGATTGATATTGGGAAAACATTTTTTGGAGAATTGTCAGGTGGCTTCAGAAAGATTTCAAATCCAGTGAGTCTCATCCCAGAAACTTGATAAAACTATGATGTACTTTTGTATAACGGATTTAACAGCAGAGAAACCAAACCAAATGTTTTTCACTTCTGCTTTTTGCCATTTCACTTCTCACATTCATAGTTTTCTGTCATCAGTCAAAAGGGATTTTCCTAAACTCTGACTGCACTAATAAAAACACAATAGCAGCAAACAAATGTTTAAAAATTACCCAAATACTGCAAAACGTTGCTCTGAGCTGACAAAAACAAAAGCTTTAGAGGTCCAACACCCGTCAACTGGATCTGTGTGAGGTGGGTGGAGTGTGTGGATTGCATCAAATTCCCGGGCCTCCACATCACCTTGGATTTGACTTGGTCACTGAACACCTTCGTTCTGATGACGAAGGCCCAACAAAGAACCTTCTTCCTCAGGAAACTGAAGAGAGTGGATTTTTTTTCTCCTCCTCTCACCTCATGTTATGTATTTTCGTTGTTTTTTCCTATCAGCCTACCTCGCTGACATGTCTTCCCAATGTGTTGTTTGTGTAAGTTTGGTCAGAGGGTTCCTTTGTAAGTGTGCATGCGCCATTAGCGTGCTGCCTGCTGTAACCCTGATTTCCTTCGGGATTAATAAAGTATTCTGATTCTGATTCTGAATTCAGTATAATTACTAACTCTGGCAGACTGCAAAGGAAGGCCAGTCGTACAGCTGCTGACCTCACTCACCCGAGACACGAACTGTTCATCGTGCTGTTGTCTAGGAAACGGTACAGATACATAAACACCACCCAGCTGAGGAAAGCTTTCTCCCAAGAGCTGTGAAAGCCATCCACCTGCCCTTCCCTCTGCTCCCCTGCAGACTGCTAAAGATTTCTGCATCTATTTTTTATATCTTTCTAATAAAAATTTCATTTATTTATTTATAATTTTTGTATTTTATATATTTTTGACAGCACCACTGTAATTTTTGTTATGATCTAGCAACAAAATGACAATAAATAAATCTTGAAGTTCTCACATACCTCTGGGCAAAAGTTTCCTTTTACCTTCAGTGTTAGAGCTCCGTCCTAAGATGACACACAGACACAAATCAATCAACCAATAAATTAATGTCATCCAATAATCAAACATAATGATGTTTATTTATTAGTGCTGTCAGCGTTAATCTTGTTAAAATGACGTTAATGGCATAACCACATTTGCGCGGCTAACGCGTTAACAAGCTAACCGTGCTAACGCATTAACACTGTGCAGCCCTCGCAGCGGGCGTTAACTCGCTAACGGAGATTTGCCGCATTAATGCAGTTATGGCGTTAACGTCATTTTAGTGAGATTAACGCTGACAGCAGTAATGTTTATATTTATTTCACACGTCCCACTTACCAGGATCCGACACAACAGTTCGTGTTTGAGTGTTTTTTAGACTCCAGTGAACATTCGGTGAAGCATCCACATATAGATCACAGCTCACATACTCTCCATTGTTCTCTTTGACTATTTGAAACATGCGTGTTAACAGCTGCGAGCGCTCGAGGTTCTTCTGCCACAGAAACCTGCCTGCACATTTTTCCATCATGTCCTTTAAGGGTGGATGGTTCTCATAACTTTCCATGTAATCTGAATTCTCTTCTCCTTTGGGTGTTAACATCAGAATTAGTGAATGCTCAAATGACTGATCACTGAACAGCTGGAGGACTCTGCAGAGTCTCATTCTGTGGTTCTCAGTGAAGTCTTCAGGCTGCAGAACCAGCAGGAACACATGAGGTCCAGGATCAGAGAGCCTCACACAGGTTTCTACATGTTCTCTTAGTTTTTGTTCAGAGATGTTGGAAGACATCA